TAGGATAATTAACTTGTGAGCGAGGATAATCCTTAATGAACTGCCAGAAAGGATAAATCTCTGAAGAGATTATAGGAAGGAACTTTCGATATTTGTCAGGAAATAATGACAAACCAGGAATCTCTACAATCAAAGTCGTCACTGCAATAGAACAACACTTTATTCCGCGCACGTAGATATATACAATATCGATTTAGGACCGGTCATTTAATTACCATGAATCCTTATTTTACCTTGCCTCTCACCCCTCTTACGTACCGGGTGCTTTTTTTTAGCGTGAATGTCCTTACCTTTCACGTCCATTTGATTAATGCAAAAGATATTCAAAAGTCGCCCAAATTCATAAATATTCGAACACACGTTTTCATTAATACACAGCTGAATCCGATATCGAAAATTGTCATGAACCCTCGTATTCGAACATTTATGAATTTGGACGACTTTTAAACATCTCTTGCATTAATCAAACAGATTCCGAGTTATCGTCGATATCTGATGAAAGATTAAATTTCTCGACCAGACCGAATATCGAGTAATTATTTAAAAAGTTAATGACTTTTCTTTAATCTCTCATTTTCCTCGCCCCCCCCCGCCCCTCCCAGTCGCTTACAGTTAGCAAAATATGATTTTAAAAAAGTTTTTATAATAATATGTATTATTTTGTATCTTTCACAATTAAATCTTAACACGTATAGGTTTTCGAATAATATATTTAAAAACGATATCTTTAAAAAATAAAGTAATTTTTATCACCTACTTTCAAAGAGTACTAATCAAATTTTATTAATATTAAAACGATTTAGATGTTTGTGTGTACCAACAGAAACTTATAGTGCATTCACGGAAATTGAATCACAAATAAGATTGTATCAGCGCACTGTAATAGCATACATGAAAAGTGAATTGTGGCTCCATTATTTATATGCACTCAAATATTATATGCACTTTTGAATGCAATCCGGTATTGTAAGAGTCTAAATATTTATTTAATTAATTCAGTAATTAATTAACCTATTTAAAAAAAATTTATAAATACATTTATATTTACATTTATGTCTATTTTAATAACAAGGTCAAAGTAGAAATTATTTTTTTACCCGCGGCAGCACACTGCATGTAATTTACATCGCATGCAAATATAATTGTTAATTACTTATTAAAAATATTCTCATTACCTTGATGGATTTTAATAATTAATGAATTAACACTTTAATGTCAAAAGAAAGCAGGCAGAAAAAAATAGGTATCTGTATGAATACGTTACATTACATTTTACAAATTTATGTTTTTGTACCAGGCTAAAGTCAAAGTATTACTCAAAATTTTAATTTAGTTGTCATTGCCCATATTATCATATTGCGATAAGTATCGTTATCGCACCGTATGTTTTAGCGATAAAGTAAAGAAGATATTTAATTTTAAAAAGGAGATATATTTGCTGATAAGTAAAGGAATATTTTACCTTACACTCATCGATTTTTTGTGAAAAAAACTAATAATCTTGATTAATCGTGTGCATATACTTCTTAAACGACGTATAAAATAACCGCATTATTTTTTTCAATTTTTTTGCAGCGAAACGTTCATTATATTTATAAGTAAACAGAAATAGAGGCCAATAAAAGACGAGCAAACAAGAGATGTTGGAATTTAATCATTTTATTTAATTTGACAATATTAAAACGGGACGTTTCGATTAGACTAAGTCTGCTTCATCCGCACATACAAGTTTCAATAAATATATTACATTACTTTAATTGAAAAATACGTAACATTTTAATAAGACCAAAAATACAAATGCCAATAGATGTTACATTCATTAAACCGGAAACTATATAATATTTTTACTATTAAGATAAAACTATATCTTATTAAATATGTGGTTAAAAAAGTCCATGTAAATTTGATGATTTAAAAATTGTAGTGTTAATTTTATAAATTCTAAGTCCATAATATATTGTCAAATTAAATGACACGATTATATTCTAACAGCTAACTCATGTCTTATTTGCTCGTCTTATTGGCCTCTATTTCCGTTCGCTTTTTAGTTATTTCTAAATACCCAGTCAATACCCAGTTTTTGCATTCGTTATACAGGATATCCCGAATTTAAATGTCAAAACTTTGGAAGCGTGTAGGGGATCGATAAACTAAAAAAACATTCTTTAGAGATATGCTCGTTTTTGCTTTGTTTTAGAGAAAATCGCAAAAAGAGATAAAACATAGTTTTCATTTTTGCTCTTATTTATTGTTGTCACGTTGTCATTTATTTAATGTATTGTTCAAAATATTGACCTCTTGCAGCAATAACTTAAAGTCTTAAAAAATTAAATGCAGCCAGAGATACATTGGAGAACAATTTCTCTAATTATTTAAAAGACATCCATCTGCAGCAACAGATTGAATGTGGTTCCAGCTGGGTGTCTAGCACTCATTATAGTAGAGCTACTCGATCTTGACTTGACAGAAATTATCCACGACGATGGATTGAATGTGAAATAGTAGTATCTTGGCCGTTTACCTGAACTGACATCATTGGATTTTTTTGTATGGAGAGGGGGGAGAGACTGAAGCAAAAATTTATTCGTTGCTAGTCAACTCAACAGAGCAATTCAGAGACCGAATCGTGACTGTAGCACCAAATATCACCTATAAATAAGTGTATGTAAATAAGTAATAAATAAGTATAAAAATAAAAATTACATTTTTTTGTGATTTTCTTTAAAACGAAGTAAAAACGGGCATATTTAATTCTAATAGACTTTTTTTCTTAGTTTACTCTAGTTTACAATACTCTACACGCACCCAAAGTTTTCACATTTAAATTCGGGTCCCTGTATTTATTCCACATTAGTCAAATAATAACTCTTATCGCACCGCCTGTATTAGCGATGAAGAGGATATTTAATTTAAAAAATTAGATTATATTTGCTCATAAGTAAAGACATTCTATAATCTTGCACTCATCTATTTTTCACAAAGATACTAATAATCTTTGATCTTTAATAATCTTTAATCTTTAATACACTTCTTAAACAAAGCATAAAATGATCGCATTATTTTTAACGAATTATTGAATTATTGAATTGATCAAAGCTGAAATTATTGAAATAATAGCAGAGATAACATTGGGAATTAAAAGAAGTACGTGGCTTTCTATAATCGATATAAGGCAATGCTGATGTGTTGTCGGTCGAACTCCTAATATCGCTGTTTTATGATTTGTGTTAATGTGTGCGATGTAGTAGTGTGTAGATGTTTTTATCTGGTGTGTGATGTTTATTACTACATCAATGTCACACATACACACACACACACACACACACACGCACACGCACACGCACACACATACACATATATATATATACAATAATATTTTCGGATCAATCTTTCTCTTATAGTATACTAAAGCATTTATAATAGATTCGTCTGTAAAGCATAGTATGTACTATTTTTTCATGTAAACCCGACCGCGACTGATGCTCATTTCACACGTACAAAATTTAAAACTTTTATATGCAGCACATGTCACAAATCGATTGCAGAAGCCGATAATTTTTTAATTTTTTTCGATTTTTTTTTGTATGAAATTGTAGCAGTTGTTCGTTATTGTCAATACTTTAATTCTGAAAAAGAATTTATAATTTTATGAAATAAATAAAAAGATTGATTGATAAAAAAAATAATCACTTTCAATCAATGGTACGTAAAACAGATTTGTGTTTACCATCGCTTTAATATGTTCAACTGTTTACGCCGTTCAACTTTTGCTTCCACCTTTCTGTTCGATCTGACTCACTGTTACTATACTCACTATACACGAATCGCTGATTAGCCTCTCCAGAAAGGAGACGCAAGCGTATGAAAATTTGTTGGTTCTGCCGGGAATTGAATCCCGGGATCTCTGGCATAACAGACCAGTGGTACTGTCTGTTACGCCACGCTTATGCGCTCCGTTTACCATTTTAACCTTAACAATTTCAAGAATTTAATATTTATTAAATTTTAATTCCTTTTTTATTATTGTCAGTATTGTTCGATCAATTGAAAGAAATAAAAACTTATGTAAAAAACAACATTATACATTTAACTTTTGTACGTCTTGGAAAACTATTCTTGAAACATAATAGTGGCCTATCAGTAATACGAAACTTTTAGAGTGGGGACTGAAACATCAGCAATTCATATTGTATGTATATACATATCAATGATCTGACTGATTGCATCGAATTTAAATTCTATTTAGCAAAGTTTAAATGTTGTGAAATATTAAGTTTCTATCTTTCTATCGCTAACATTTTTTAAAATTTTTCGCAGCAAAGCATTCATTATATATTTATTTCAGATAGCTAAATAGTAATTCTTAACTGATAAATGATAAATCGCATTCAATATATTTTTGTTAAAAATTTCAACGCTTTGTATTAGGTACACTCTAACGTATTATTTTAACTGAATTGTTTCATACGTGCACGTATAGTATTTTGTAGTTTGCAAATGAAAAATTAATATTAATATAGTTTTGAAACTTTTTCATCCGCTCTACATCCCACTTGTAAAATTTAAAGAGCCGTGCATTTAAGAATTATGTCACGGTACAATCTATCGGAGCAGATTATTTTTATTGCAGCGTCCCACTTTTTTGCGCGTCACGTGTCTTTTCGCGGACAATCAGTTCGTCCTCGATATATTCAAGCATGAAAATTAACGCTGCTGTCTGTCAATGTACGCAGATGCAACCATGCAACCAGAGATTATAGAATGCCGGGAAATATCTCTCGAATCGTAATAATAATTCCCTCTCTCTTCCTCCCCCTCCCCCCCCTCTCTCTTTCTCTCTCTTTCAGGGGAATTGTAATAATCACACTTTAATTACAGAGAGTCATACATTTCTTCACGCGCAATTTTCATTCGACGGAACATCAGATTCCGCGAAACGTTTTACTTTTCCGCCACCGAGACCTGTCCGGGTCTTAGGTGGGATACGTCGTTATAGGATATCTATGCTCTGTTTAGCCAGTCGAGTTACAACTTTCAAAGCGGCGAGTCGTAGTGCTGCCGGCGACCGTCACCGGCTTATGTAGCATCCCGCGAGAAGCACGAAATGTCGCTCGGCGGGCTGGTGATGCGATCGATAGAGATACGTAATTTTATAACGACGCGCAAACGCGACTGGAAAAGTACGCTTTGCGCCGCAGTGAAACGTCGTGAAGGACATGGCAGCGAAAAGTGATTCCGTTGACGTCGTCCACGGCGATGGCGATGGCGCGATAGGTCCGTGGATGAAATTAATCCGAGGGAAACGCACGCAAGGTACAAAATTGGCCGAATCGAAAATTCGAATTCATTACGCGTATATGAGACGAATTGAAATGCATGGGTAAACGCGAATTCGGCGACGCGAATTAAAAGAGCGACGCCGATTGTGCAACGCGATGCAACTCGACAACCTTCGGCGTTCTATTTAAACGATTACCATTAGTCACGTCGCGCATCGCGAATCAATGTTACTGCGAAAAAAAAAGGAACTTACGGTAATGGCAATTATTGACTAATTACGCGTGCGCTGAATCGAAACCTGTAAAAAACGACGATGTAATATTAACGCAGGCGTACCTCGGCGAAACCATGACCTCAAAATCACCGGCATGGAACTCACTGCATTCGTGACGTAATGTCTATGAAAAATACGTTGGCGATGATTCAGTCACGCCAGTAAACTGACGCTCAATCGATCAAAGAGAGTCACGGTTAATGGCAATAAATTAATATCGTCCGCGAATATCAAGTGAAGCAAAAACTGCGCGTAAAAAGTTTTCTTTACTGAATCTAATTATTCTTAATTAATTGATATCCTGAAGCATATGCATATATATTTTTCAAGCTGCATCACTTCAGAAACTTTATTCGAATATTATTTCTTACGCGACGTTTTAAGCAATCATAACTTAAAAATAAATTTTATTAATGAGATAATATCATCAAAGCAGGAAACGCTTCGGAATATAATATCGCTCATTTACTACAACAGTAACATAATTAAAAAATTATCATTTTTTAATTACAGGAAAAAAACGAAAATAGAAAGAAAAAGAGAAAAACATATTTTTAAAGGGATACAATTTTATTCCTTTACAATCAGTTATTACATCAAAATTGCATTTCAAAATTAATATTACAAAATTTTAATTCAAAACATTGGAATTTATTTTCTGACAGACTGTTTTTTTTTATTTGTGTTGTTGCAACAAATAAGCGATATGTAATCATACCTGTAATAATAATAATAATAATAATAATAATAATAATAATAATAATAATAATAATAATAAATGAAATAAAATATATATAATATATGTGTGTGTAACAATTATTTATAATATTTGCAATTGTACTAATTTACTTGTAATTACAATGAATCAAAATGAGATTTGTTCTATTTTAATTATGTGACTGGTAAATAACTTTGTTTACGCTTTTAACAAATAAACAGGGCATAGCGTAAAATTAACCATTAACTATTTAATTCTCTGTGTTCATCATTCTAACCGCCTTCCGGCTTGGTCCAATCCTCATTATTGTCAATTAGGATTAAACGGTTCAGTTGTGTATTTGCCTACAATATTAACTCACTTACTGCGTATTAAATACTGCATATGATCGATACGTCCCGTATAATAAATAAATAATAGTGAATACTACGTAAAGCAAATAGCCGTCGTGTACAGGAGTAGAAATAATAAAAGGCGAAATAACAACTGATTCTGAATATTAAAAGGTACCTTTTTAATATTAGATACATGTTATATTTGCGCGCGTATATCGCCTCTGTACCGTTATTTTCACGTATTCAATACAATTCGATTATTCGCTCTTAGCTTTCTGTCACTTATAGTTCACTGCGTATTAATCAATCAGCCCATTAATCATCCTTGCCTGTTCTTAAATATCCACTTAAAATCCTACTTGCTGCATGCAACGCAACTGCAACATGCGACGAGAGATTAAAGCACGCTCTCTGACGCTGCGAGTAGAGAAAAAGGCCATTCATGCTGGATATCATAAGAGAGCAATTTTTAATCAAACGAAACCTCGTGTTCACGTTCCTTCCTCCCCTCCCTCTCAACCCTCCCTCCCCCTCGCCCCGCGCCGTCCTGATACCCGCCTACAGACAAAGTGAGCGGATAGAACATCTATCCCAAAAGAACATCAAACGTTTACGATCTTTTGAAAGAACTCGATTATTCATCCATGAAAATTTCTCCTGTTTCATCGAGCGCTTTCATCCCAAGAGTCGTGGCGAATTAATCGCCCGTCCTCTCGCACTAGTTGCATCTGATATCTCCTTGAAGCTTAGAATACTCTTTCAACATTTACGCCTTTATTCTAGCGCTTTCCACGTGTTATGTATATATATGCAATATAAAATTACATTAAACATTCACAATATTTCGATTATATTAGCGCGACTGTTGTTGACAATGAGAAGTTAAGAGAAGTTATGTGTAAAGTTCTTTAACGTTATTTCTGGCATACATTGTTATCGCTGAAAGAGATAAATAGATAAAGCGTTTATTAATAATATTTATCCTTCTAAGGCAAGCCCTCTAAGAACTGACAAAAAACAAAAAGAAGATGTACATAGAGAAATAACATTAAAAGTAAGAAATAAAAAATAAAATTTAATAATAAAATCATATAAATGAGAAATAACAAAAAGAATAATGAAACAGAATAAACAGTGAAATATAGAGGTGAGATATCACTGATACTGTGTATACATGGATTGCTGACATTTTAGTCCCCCACTCCAAAAATTCCGTACCATTGCCAGGCCTTGTTTCAAGAACAGGTTTCCAAAACGTGCACAATTTAAATATATAGTGTTGTGTTTTTTTTTTATATAGTTCTTTATTTCTTTTTAGCTAATCGAACAATATTGAGATAAACAAGTAATTATTAATACAAAATAATATCATACATTATTAGATACGAATTAAACTTATTTTTATTATTTCTATTCTAATTAGCTTTAATTGTGTGGGGTAAATAATATTATTGTAAGAGATTCGGGGATCGAAGAAAGTTCATTCTAATGAATAATCATAAGTTACAATTTGTATGTTCGATCTGGATTTAATCTTTCGTCAGTTATCGGTAAGATAACTTTATCAGTCTCTCTAAAGTGACTGACTCAGTTCGTAAGTTATAACTCACCAGAGTCCCTCTGCCGTGAATGCTTATTACAATACATTCTAAAAATTTCGGCTTCGCACCTTGCTTTACATTGTATGTTCCAATATTAATTGTGTTAATTCATATATTAATTAAAGTTCAATTTTAATTTTATTATACATGATTTCAATTTTATTATACATATTTGATGCTTTGTTTGTAATAACATTACATTAAAATTGAACTTTAATTAATATATGAATTAACACAATTAATATTGGAACATACAATGTAAAGGCAAGGTGTGAAGCCGAAATTTTTAGAATGTACAAAAACAATAGCATCTCATTTTTGACACTTTACAGTCTTTTAATAATAAAAATTATAATTATCTTCAAATCAAAGTATAATTATCTTTTGATAATATTTTTATAAACGGCACACTAAATATCATATTATTAATGTCAAATTATTACTAATGTGCACGTACGAAAACATTTCTGATTAAATAGTCATATCAGTGTAAGATATACATATATCAAATAATGTACCGCGAAGACACGATTATTAATTATTACAATTATCATGACGCATTTCGCTGCAGATGACAAAAAAAATTTGTATTTAAACGTACTTAAGAAAAACAAAGAAAGAGAGTTAAAACTCAAAACAACAAAAATTAACTATTTATTATCATAAATCTGTCATATTTTAAGTCAATATAACTAAGTTATAATTTTTTTTTATACAGATATCGTGCGAAGTTGAAGGAAAATTCTCTCGGACTTTGATGCGTCACGCCAGAACATTAATTGGAAGTAAGTGTAAACCGATCCTCTCGCACGCACTGAAATGATGCAATCTATTATAAGCGAAAAACCGTGAGAAACGTTTCTCTAGAATTGTAGCACATTAGTCTGCAATATATTTTAATAAGGAGAGCTCTTATATTTTTTATTAAATATAAATTTGTACGTGATATTCGATGCAAGACACACGATCAAACATTTCGATCATTAATAAATAGAAGTACAGGAATGTCATCAAAGATAATCAAGTAATTATCTTGCCTGGGTAGATTCTCACTACATGTATGTTATAATTATTGAAATCAAATAACTCTAGAAGGTCTGAATATTTACCAGGAAATCTACAGTTTATTCATAACGGACTGCCGTAATCTTACGTAGAACGAGATAAGCTAATCTCGCATATGAATATATGTACGTGTCTTATTCTGACAACGTGAGTGAATACGTCATCCCGTATTTTACATCGGCGATAGCCAACACTGAAGCTAAGTTGTTAAAAGAAGAAACAAGTTTTTCCTTTTATACAACTCGTGCCTTCTGCACGGAGAACGAAGTTATACGTACGATATTTCATCAAACCGCATCTGCGCCGCAAGAAATCTCTTCCGTGATAGAGGCCAGTTATTTTCTACGATCTTCTCCACTATACTATCAATGCAGGGATTATTCGTACCAAACTGTTACTCCTGTTGCGAAATAGCAGTACGAAGTAAATAGTACGTGAAATAAACTAATGAAAAAGGTATTAAAAAATAGATATAAGAAATAGGTATCGTTAAATTCCTGTATATGCAAACAAGATTTAATAAATTATGCGAAGACAACTGCGCGAGGCATCTCTTGGACATTTATTCTGATGAATGTATGGATCACGATATATCACGTGTCGAATATGTGATGAGCGGCAGTGCTATGTCTAATTACGGCGACGTAACCTCTATGAGAAATGCAGACGGCACATCTTCGGAAGAGCATCGTCAAAGCGATGAAGAAGAAATCGTGCCTCTTCACCGGTCTAATTGTGGCAACGACCTTGACAATCTTCCTCTACTTCTCCGCCACTTACGGCGACTTCCAGATTCACGACATGTTCCTCAAGATGATTCGCGAGGGGGATTATTTCGCGAACAAAATCGCCCGGGCGGAGGCGTACAGAGAGGCGGACGTGAAGACCGTCCTTCTGTGGAACACGCTGTTCGGTGACAGGAACTTTTATTTCGGGAAAGGCGACATCTTCTACGATTGTCCCTTCAACAAGTGCAAAGTCTTTAATGATCGAGACTACTTGAATGTGGAGGATTACGACGCGATTCTTTTCCACGGTAACGAGATGAGTGACTACGAGATGCCGCAGAGGAGGAAGCCGACGCAGTTCTATGTATACGTTAATTTGGAAAGTCCGGCGAATCGAAAAGTGAATGAGAAATATCGGCAGAACTACTTCAACCTCACGATGACATACCGGCTCGACAGCGACATACTCTGGACTTACGATATCATAGAAGACGTGAAAAGCGGCAAGTTCGTCGCACCTTCAAAGAATGCCGATTGGAGCGCCTCTCAAAATGATACAAGTAATATATTCTTTTGCATTACATATATATGCACCTCTTCTTTATTCAGTGCTGTTTTTACAATCAATAAAAATATTCAGATTAAACGTCGCATAAATGTTATATATTCAATATATACGGAAATTTTCACCTTTACATTGTAAAATTGCACGATTTTAAAGTCACAAATTAAAATACTTCACATCAAAAAGTAACTGCAACTTATTCTTCATCAACTGTTTTTACATCTTTCATTACTTGTGTGTGTCTTTTATGCAAGACGCAGCAATTAATTTTCCCCGTGCGACAAAACAAACGATCCCTATGTTCACGAACCGTCCCGACGACAAATTCCCGGGCGCGGTGTATCTTGTCACCGTGTAAGCCACTTCGAGTACGCGAGAAACTAATCAGTTTTCGCAGGTGCAGGGGACGCGGTAGACGAAGTGCCATCTGCGATATTGGACACCGTCAGGGGTAAGAGCAAGCCGGTAACTTGGTTTGTAAGCAATTGCGATGCCAAAAGTGGCCGGCTGGAGTATGTGAAGGAGCTGTCGAAGCACATAGGCGTCGACATTTACGGCAAATGCGGCGAATTCACCTGCGAGAGAGATCGGAACTGTTTCGTCGACGTAATCGAGGCCGACTACTTTTTCTACCTGTCCTTTGAGAATTCCTTCTGCGACGATTACGTGACGGAAAAGCTGATGAATCCGCTCAGGTAATAACAGTGGCTTTCAACGAGAGAGAGAGCGAGAGAGAGAGAGAGATCGTTACTCCCGTAATCTCAGCGCGCGCGAAAACAAAGACAATCTAACTAGTGCCTCCGCGAGGTGTTTTCCCTGATGATATATACGCAAGTCGCCCTTACAAGTAAATGCGTAATGCCATCGTGCATAATTTAAGTCAAAGATTGACACAACAATATTTTATCGACTTGCCTTTATAGTTCTGCGCCGATTACTTGAATACATACTTTTGCATATAAATAAAAATATTTTGAACTCTTACTTCAAAAGTGACATATAACTAGAAAGAACATTTTGTGAGTTACTATAAATAAAGTAAAAAACATTATCCTATCAATCAAAAATTTTATTTTTTCTAATATGTCTTGGTAATCGAATCGGAAAGGCGCCCATCACGGAATGTAGGGAGGATTAGATTCAAATCCTAGCTGGAAATAGTTTTCATAATAAATTCTTTCTTCTTTGCACGCCATGCGCTTGTCAGCATAGGCGATCTCTTCTGCATATATCCGCAGATACATGGGACCTACTAGTTTTATGCCGATTTGGAATGGCCTAGAAAACACTTTCTTAGGCAGAGTTTCTCTCGGTTATGATTTACCTTTGCCGATCGTCGCCGATCGAGAGGTGGCGTTATCTCTGTTAAGCTGGACCCCTCACTATCGCAAATTGAGTTCAGACATAGTCAAAAATTAGTGCTATTTTGTTGCTAATTTGTTGTTCTAGTTCGAATTTTGTTGCTCCAATCGTTTAGCAGGAAATTGCGTAAATGGGAAGGGGAGACCTAACATGGCAAACTGAACCCCCCTCCATACCAGAAAAATATAGAGTAGTCCTATCAAAAAAACCAATGTACCAGATTTTGTTGCTTTTTTGTTGCTTCAAGATAGTGCTAAAACATTTACAAAAAATAACATTGTTTAAGAAATACCACTATATGCATTCAGCACTGCACCACCGTATTTGAACACTGACACCAACAGAATTAGTTGCTCGCACTGAATTTGATATAAAAACAATCTGCAATCATTATATCATTAAATTATGTCAATTTTCAATTTTATTGCTAATCGTAACATATCGAAAATAATTTATCCCGGGCGACCGCGCCGCACTCTTTAAGTTCCCTTGTCCGATCCTCCCAGAATTTGTTGTTCGCATGAGTTTGATATAAAAATAATCTGCAAGCATTGTACTATCGAAATAAGTCGATTTTCGATTTTGTTGCTAACTTTAACATGTTAAAATTAAATAGTTTATCCTGGGCGACCGCACCGCGCGTTTTAAGTCCCGATATATAGTTTATCCCGATAATAGTTTATCCGAGCCGACCACGCCTTGCGCTCTCGGTTCCCTTGCCCGATCCTCCCAGAATTTATTACTCGCATGAGTTTGGTATAAAAATAATCTGCTAGTATTGTACTATGGAAAGGTAACAATTTCCGATTTTGTTGCTAACTGTAACGTGTAAAAATTAAGTAATTTATCTCAGCCGACTGTGCCGCGCGCTCTAAGTTCCCTTGAAAATTGATATATTTCAATAGCACGATACTTGCAGATCATTTTTATATCAAATTTATGCGAGCAACAAATTCTTGGAGGATCAGGCAAGGGAACTTTAAGCGCGCAGCGCGGTCACCCGGGATAAATTATTTAATTTTAACATATTAGAGGTAGCAACAAAATTGAAAATCGACTTATTTCGATAGTACGATGCTTGCAGATTATTTTTATACCAAATTCATGCGAGCAACAAATTCTGGGAGAATTAGGCAAGGGAAAAAGCGTACGGCGCGGTCGCCCGAGATAAATTATTTATTTTCGATATGTTACGGTTAGCAACAAAATCGAAAATTGACATAATTCGATGATATAATGATTGCAGATTGTTTTTGTATCAAACTCAGAGCGAGCAACTAATTCTGTTGGTGTCAGTATTCGAATACGGCAGTGCAGTGCTGAGTGCATATAGTGGTATTTCTTAAACAATGTTATTTTTTGCAAATGTTTTTAGTAGTATCTTAAAGCAACATAAAAGCAACAAAATCTGATATATTGGTTTTTTTGATAGGACTACTTTATATATTTTTTTCTGGTATGGGGGAGTTTAGCTTGCCATTAAGCTAGCCTCCCCCCTCCATTTTTTACGCGATTTCCTGCTAAACGG